GCAGAATTCTACCAGACTTTCAAAACAGACCCAATACCAATAATCTCCAATTATTCTACAAAATAGAAACAGAAAGACATTGCCAAATTCATTTTCTGAGGCCATAGTCAACCTGACATCCAAACCACATAAAGATTCAAAAAAGAAAGAGGTTTTAGGGAAATTTCCCTTATGGACATAGATTAAAAATAATAAAATATTCACAAACTGAATAGAAGACACATCAAAGAGATCATCTACCATAATCAAGTAGACTTACTTCATAGATACAAGGATGATTCAAATTATGAAAATTTGTCAATGTAATCTACCATATAAACAAACTGAAAGAAAAATCACCACATGATCTTTTCATTAGATGCAGAAAAAGCCTTTGACCAAGTCAAACACCCCTTTATCATATAAGTCTTAGAGAGATCAGGATACAAGGGACATACCTAAACATAATAAAGGTGATATTGAGCAAGCTTATAATTAAATTAAATGGAGAAAAACTCGTATCAGTTCCACTAAAATCAGGAACAAGTCAAGGTTATCAAATCTCTCTATATCTATTAAATATAGTACTTGAAGTTGTAGCTAGAGCAGTATTAGAACTAAGGGAAATGAAGGAGATTTTATATATCTATATAAAATGGAAGAAGTTAAAGTATCATTATTCACAGTTGATATGATAGTATTCATAAGTAACATAAAGAATTCTACCAAGCAACTCCTACAGCTGGTAAACATCTTATGGAAGTGTCTGGATACAAGAGCAGTTCAAAATAAGAATCAGTAGCCCTCCTATATTCAAACAATAACTGGGCTGAAAGATATCAGGGAAATAATATCCTTCATATTAGCCACAAATAATATAAAATATCTTGGTATAACTCTACAAAGTAAATGAAAGACCAGTTTGACAAGAACTTCAGAAACACACACACACACACACACACACACACACACACACACACACACACACACACTGACACACACAGGTAGATGTAACAACATACAATGAAAAAAAAATAAGCCCTGAGTTACAAATAGAGTAAGGAAGGGCTAGATGGGAGAACTCAGGAGAAGGAAAGGGGAGAGGGAAATTGTATAATTATGTAATAATCTCAAAATTAAAGAAAAATAAACCTTTAAAATAGCCAGAGAACTGAGTTATATAAGGTTTCTACTTAGTTAAAAAAAAAATTAAAGTTCAATGTCCTTAGCAAGAAGGGAAATGCAAATTCAAACTGCTCTCAGAATCTCTCCACCAGAGTCAGAGTGTCAAGGATTCAAAACTCATGACAAGTGCAAGTCCAAGGAAAGAGTCAGAGTCCACTGTGGACGGGGATGTGGACCACTGCAGACACTGGGAATTTAGTGTGCAGGCTTCTCAAGAAACAAAATTATAACTGAAAGACAGCTATACCACTGCTGAGTATCCATGAGATGCTAAGACAACGTACCTGAGTCATTCATACACCTGAGCTCACTGCTGCTTCATTCCCAACAGCTAAGACATGTGACCAGCCTAGATATCCACCAAAAGATGAATGAATAAAGGAAACACAATGTGCTCATTCAATATACTTTCCTTCAGACATAAAGAAAATTATGTCAAGACATTTGTAGGAAACACGTGGAAATGGAGATTTGTACCTAGAGTTTTCCTGCCTGGCCCACAGTCAGGACAAATCTCTGACACCCGCCAGTCCCACAGTCATTCAGACCCAACCAAATAAACACAGAGACTTATATTGGTTACAAACTGTATGGCCGTGGCATGCTTCTTGCTAACTGTTCTTACAGCTTAAATTAATTCATTTCTATTAATCTATACCTTGCCACGTGGCTTGTGGCTTACCGGCATCTTCACATGCTATTTGTCATCTTGGCGGCTGGCAGTGTCTCCCTCACCCAGCTTCCTGTTCTCTCAATTCTCCTCTCTGTTAGTCCCGCCTATACTTCCTGCCTGGCCACTGACCAATCAGTGATTTATTCATTGACCAATCAGCAACACATTTGACATACAGACCATCCCACAGCAGAGATTATTATGTTCTGCAAATGAAACCAGGGTTATTAAAGACAAATAGCATGGATATTATGATATGTTGGACCTGGATTTCAGTGTGTGTGGCAGAGTGGCAGAGGTAGATCATTAAATGAGAAGGGGGACACTGAAATAGAAGAAAGGCATCATAAATTTAGGAGACCAAGAAAGGGATTTGTTGATGGTGAATACATTTAATCTAAGGATAGGAAAGTAAAAACAGGTTGTTAAATACCCTGCAGTAGGACACAGAGCTGGGCAGTAGGTGGGGTCCAGGCTGTAGAGAAAGATATTGTGTGCAAAGGTGTAGGGGCTGAATCTATGTTTGGAGATGTACTCTCTCATGGTGTTCTGGGATGCAAGTGGCACCACAAGGAAAACAGGGTGGACTGACCTGTATACAGCTTTGGGAAGTCAGCATGAATAGCTATGCATATGATTCAGTTATATACTATACATATATCATACATAAACAATATCTGTTCTATGTACCTGAGGTCAATCCTGGTTGATAATGTTCAATCACAGAGAGAAGCTATCACAGTTGTGCAGCTGTTACTGCTGGGGTTTGAGTGTGAACTACATCCCACAGCCTCACCTGTTTCTCCAAGCTGGTGATGAGGCAGCAGGAGAGACATGACTGGACACTTCTAGTCTACCTTCTAATGCTCCTACAAACACTTGACTATTTTGTATCTTATAAATGCTCTGCTTTCTTGGAACTATCCATGTGTGTTTGTAAGGGTCATTGTTGAGACTTAAGATAGTAGAAATGAGAGGGACTCCCCTACAGACTCAAATACATGTCTGTAACAAAGAGAGAGTCAAGGTGGATTGGTTGTGGAAACTTTAGAGTATTCTGGAAAACTATTCCCCAGGGAATTGAGTCCCCAGTATCAGTACAGAGAAACTTATGCATTTAACATCCAAAAGTGCCAAACTTTACCCAAAGGTGTCAGAAAACCATGTGGTGAAATTTGTGAACAACTGCTTTTGTAAGCATGAAAATTCCAAAATTTGGTGAGTCATGGATTCTGAGAGACACTGAGGAGAGGCACTTGTTCTCAGGTCAGAGCATCAGCAAGCAGTCGCTGACAGGCCCCTCATGGAACTTTGAAAGTTAAATCTAACTCTCAGTCGAGTTCACTGAAGGTGGTAGGAACAGACCCATGGGATATCCACCAAAGAAAGCAAAACATATGTTAAGAGGCAATCTAAGAAAGAGTCTACATGTCCTCCAGGGGTCATAGGTGAGGCAGTAGGCTGTCTGTGTCAGCCACAGAATTCAGGATCTTGTGCTTTTCCTGATTGGTAATTGTCTTGCTCCAGACTTGTTATTCCTTGTTATGTCCCCATCATTCATTTTGGATTGGAAATTTAAACTCTGTGCATTTGTCTGTGCAAAGTCAGTAAGGCACTTTTACTGTGTTAATTTCATAGGTAGTCACAGTTAATGGACTTCCTTCAGTCTTTTTGAGATTTGAATCCCTCTTAAACAATGATGACTTTGGTGGTTAAACTGAATGCAATTGCAGCATGAGACAACCATGTACCTTTTTGCATGACTGGGCTCTGTTGGTTCATGAAAGGGTCACTTGAGCATAGACTACACTCCTGTCACTCAGACCTCATCCTTTAGATGGCTTCTGTGTGGTCACAGCACAGCTAGTGCAGATCACTGATATGATCATATCAAATGAGATCCATGGTACAGGATCAGGGCAGTGGGACAGAAGGTGCCATCTCTCCCCTGATTAGCTTTTCAGTCACCATTTATATTTGGTTATCTCATGCAAATTAACAAGCTGGAATCCCAGAAAACTCCTTGTCGACATTCAGATCATTCCTGAAAGTGGGCACCTGAAGCCCAGGAAACAGAGCTCAACCAAGGATGGGAAACAGACTCTGTAATGAGAGAACCTGGCACTCCTTCTCCTAGAACACCTTCCCACAGCCAGGTAATCCTTCAAGTGAGGTTTTTTAACAAAATAAAATCTTACTGAAACAAAACCAGAAAGAAATCATAATACTACATTTAAAGTGAAGCTTTAATTTTGAGACACTGTGTTTTATATTCTTTTTTATTAAAGCAAATTTAAAGATCCTTGTGAGAATTAATAATATAAAGGAATTGAGAGCACAGATTAAATCTTACTGTGTATTCATAGTGTAATCATGCTTCAGATTTCGTATCACAGTGTGTATCTTAAATAATTTCAGGGTTGGATTCCACACAGCACAAGCTAGCCACTGTAATGGAGAAGTCCCCTGCTGTTTATTCTTCTGTTTTCCCCCTTGTCCAGCCCTGTCCCCATCACACAGGTCACCTCTTGAAGCAGAGGGCTCTTTAGGCAATGGCCCATTGCTTTATTGTGAGGTTAAGATAACGTTGCCATTCCTTCCAGAACTATTACTCTGGCTGGAAAGAACACATACATTGCATTAATTAGAAAGAATGCAGCAAGGTGTCTTTGTCACAATACTTCCGCTGCAACATCTGTCCTACAAGGGAACCAGCCATGTTTAAAACTCAACAAGTACATTTACCCTGAGCAAGAAGAATTGGTTGTCACCTACAACCAAATATCAACTCTAGCCACAGTCCACAGAGCAGAACACTTAGTCAAATAGTGAATGTGTGTTGTTACAAAGCTGACCCAAGTGACAACTTCAGTTCCTTCTTGGCTTCCTAGTGGGCAGTTGAGGGTAGAAATGTGACAGTGTATACCTGATGCTTCTTAGGTGTTACATTGTTGTCCTTTGTCAAATCCTTATATTCCTGTATACCATAATCCAGTTCTTCTTCTGTCCACACTAAGTTTCCACAGCAAATTTATCTGAATTCTTCATAGGTCTTCATTAAAAGCAAATAAAACAATGAAAACCAACAGATACCAGAATGATGTATAGAGAAGAAGCATAGTGTTAATAATCCATATCTCAGTCACCATGTTACTAAATTCATTCAGGCCCATGTAGAAGCTGATCTTGCCCTGCTGATATTCTGGTTGTGCTCCTTCATCATCTTCTTCTTCTTCTCCTCCTCCCACACTGCTCTCCTGTATCTTTCTTCATCCTGATACATATAAGAGAAAATATTTCCTTTATTTTAACCCCACATACAAGTGGAGTGGAGTGACAAGTCAAGAGGAGGCATGGAGAGGGATCTCAGGACACTACAGCCTGCCATTCTCCACACGCAGAGGATCAGCAAAGCTGGCCACCTTGCCTTCATAGTGCATGTCTTAACCAAGTCTTCAGTGATGGCTGGCCTCTGTGGTCACGTTTATGCCTACAGACTCCCAATAGCAAGAGCCATTCTTTCTCTGGACAGTGACCATGTTACCAACCAGGCTGTAGGATTTTTTAAAGTTCATCTTCCATTCTTCCCATTCAGCATCCAAACTGGGACCATGTGGTGGAGCAGATGAGGCCATTCTCAAGCAGTAGGACAGCACTAATGAGGTCACAAAAACCTAGGGAACAAGGAATTGCCCAATACCAACTGGTCAGCCCTGAAAACCTACACAGAAGTAATATTATGTATACTGACTTAAGTTATAGTTAGGAATACATATGTATATGAACATATGCATGTAGTAACAATTAATGAAAGAAAGACCAGCATTTTTTAGCTATAAGTTTTCCTGGTCTCACCTGGCACCAAGTTCCCACAGCCACTTATAAAATCCCTGTGCTTCAGCTGGTCCAGAAACCGTTCAGACCCAAGTAAACACACAGAGGCTTATATCAATTACAAATTGCATGGCCATGGCCTATGGCTCAAGCTTCTTGCTAGCTAGCTCTTATATCTTAAATTAACCAATTTCTATTAATCTATAAGTTACCACATGGCTGTGGCTTACTGGTGTGCTGGCGTGTTCTTCCTTCAGTGGTGGCAGCTGGCATCTGCTTTGCCTCTCCTTTCTCTTCCTGTCTGTCTGTTTGGATTTCTGCCTGCCTCTAAGCTGCCTCGCCATAGGCCAAATGGCTTTATTTATTAACCAATCAGAGCAACATATTTTCACAGCATACAGAAAGACATCCCCCCATCAATGTTTAAAGAAGAATCAGAAGTGGTAAATGTGGAAGGGTAAATGAGAGAGCTTTTAGGGAAGAGAGGGAAGATAGCAATGATGTAATTATATTGTTATCTTAAAAAAACAAAACCCCATGGTGTGGGGGAGGAGACAAAATAAAATCTAGAGAAAGAAAAGAAGTCCCAGGTAAGCAGAGAAAAGCTATGGGGATGTTCCTGGAGCATGACTAGGCAGGATCCAGGGCCTGTGTACCTTGTTTGTCTCTTCTCCCACCTGGAGTGCTGTGGCTACTGAAAGGTGGAATCCAGGAGCGTACTGTCCAGGGCCTCCTGAGAAATATTTATAAAGGAGTCTAGTGGTGCAGGAACAGAGCAGACTGTGTCTCCATCTTTTCCCTACAGGCTCAGCCTGACCTACAGAGTAGAGTCATAAAGTAGCTTGACTAATGAGTCAGGCATCCCAGGCAAAAAAACATAGTTCTAGACACTAACCAGATCCCAGGCCAAAGCTGTGTCATACACAATGTGGCTCTTCTGAGAATCTTAAGATTCATGGAATGTTCTCTGTTTTGTATAATTAACAATCTTTAGAAACAACAGAATTGTCATAGGATGAACCCATTGAGGACAGATGGTAGATCCCACAGTCCTACCTTAGATTCTGCATCTGTATGGAGGTCATATGATAGCCTAAGAACTGTGAAGGTGCTGTTGACAACACACTTGTAGAATCAAGCAATGTGTACCTGTCTGTGGCTGCTTTGTCTGCAACTCAACCTATGACAGACAAGAACATCTTCAGAGAAGATGAAATAACCGGCAGGAAACAGAGGAGTCTGAAGTACAAGTCCCTCAGACCAACCATTAGTGTCTCAGCCTATGACAGATAGAAGCACCTTCAGAGTGGATCAAATAATCAGAAGAAAACAGAGAAATTAGAGAAACATGTCATTCAGCCCGACCATCAGTATCTCAGCCCAGGGCTTCACAGCTTTAGAAAAAAATATTGGAATTGCTCAAACCAAAAAACAGATGTCTCATGCGCACCGAACTAGGTGGGCCTACAGGTTCTGACTGGACAGGAGGAAATTGCTGTGTGGACTTCACCATTACTTTGACTAGCACAGCTGTGCATATGATTACAAAGCAGATGTAACAACAATTGGAAAACAATACAGTTGTTTGGCTGAGAAACTACAGGAAATATAAATTCCTACATGTGATGTATGGCCATGTTCCTTTGATGTCCCCCAGAATTTTATTGAATATTTGGTGTCTAATAATTGAGATTTGAAGATTTTTGAATGTTCGTTATAAAAGCAGAATTGGATGGATAGATGGATACTTTCCTAAAAAATGCATAATCTCTCCAAGTCAAATTGGATGAAACTCTAAGCAGAAAACTGGTATACACAGATAGTAGCAATAGAGTTCATTTCAATATTACAATCATAATGAAAGAAAACACTTCATGTTTGCAGTGTTCCTGACTTTTGGCAATGTGGTCAAGGTATAATCTTTGGTAAGCATTGTCTGCTACCTTCTCTCAGCCACTCATGGAACTTTCTCCAAAATCAACCATATACTTGGACACAAAGCAAGTCTCAAGAAATATAAAAAAATTGAAATAGCACCCTTTATTCTTTCTGACAATCACAGATTAAGGCTGAATATTAACAACAACAGAAAGCTTACAAACTCATGGATACTGAACAACTCACTACTGAATAAAAATGGGTCAAGACAGACATCAATAAATAAATCAAAACTGTCTCAGATTTAAATGAAAATGAGTACATAAAATACCCAAAGTTATGGGACACAATGAAGGTGGTCCTAAGAGAAAAGTTCATGGCACTAAGTACTCACATAAAAATTTTTGAGAGATCTCACACTAGCAACTAAATAGCATGTCTGAAAGATCTAGAACAAAAGGAAGAAATAATGCCCAAAGGGAGTAGATGGCAAGATATCAAAATCATCAATCATTGAGAAGAAATTTAAGAAGATATCAGAAGATTCAATGATCCCGCATGCTCATAGATCAGTAAGATTTATATATTGAAAATGGTCATCCTACCGAAAGCAATTTACAGATTCATTGCAACAGCCATCAAAATCCAACACAATTCTTTACAGATCTTGAAAACCTTTCCAGTATTTCTAATCTGACCTAAAGCACAGACTAAGGGAAACTCAAGACTTGTGAGTCATGGGACACCTTCTTACTGCCCAATAAACAGCAAGAATTCTGCTATGTTTCATAAATACTTGATAGTAATTTAATTATAAATAATATTTATTATTATCATTTTAATGATTGTATATTTATTAGTATACATAGTAAAAGTATGTATTCCTAGCAATGTAGGAATGCTGAAAGTAAGAGAGCATTCTCCAGGGAAGAGCCCAACAATTGGTTATCCAATACCAAAGGGTCAGACCTGTAAACATATATACAATTAGCATTATATAGACTGAGAAGGTTGTTTTTAGGTAATTTGGAATATATGTAACAATTTTTTAGTGGAAAAAAGAGGCTATGAATTGGAAGAGAGCAGGAAGAGGCATATGCGAGTATTGGTAAGGAAAGAAGGGAATGGAGAAATTATGTAATTTTAATCTCAAAAAATAAAAGTTATAGAAAAAAATTTAAGTTACAATTATTGGTGCATAATTTTCAGAAAATATATGCATTGTTAAAAAGTAAAAAGAGTTTAGATCAGAGTGTAATCTTTAAAATCACAGCTGCAATAACTGTTTGGAATTTGTCCTGGCTTTTTACCTCAGCACGATGCTCCTGAGACTCCCTGCCCTGTGCACTAGTGGTTGCTTTTTTGTTCTGCTGAGCATGTCCTGCTTGTAAGATTTTCAGTTTTATTATCCATTCACCCATTGATGTCATTTGAGTTGTTCTCAATTTGAGGATGAATAAAATCTTTTAATATATTTAAAACATAAAAGAAGTTCACAGTACAGGTGCAGTGCAGCTGAACAGAATGAGGGGCCATCTCTTTGCACTGAATGCAAACAATTTTCACTTGTCAAATTCATGTGAATTAAAATCATTGAATTCCAGAAATTTTCAAATAGACTTTCAGATCATTGCCAATAGAGGGTGCGTAAAACCCTCTAAACAAAGCTTAATCAAGGATGGAATACTGACTCCTTAATGAAAAGACTTACTCATACTTCCTCCCAGAATACCATCCCACAGTGAGTATACCTTCAAGCAGAATTACGTGTTAAACACATAAAAAATCACTTCCACAAAAATAGAAAGAAACCAGAATACTGAATTTTAAATAAAGTTTTATTTTTAAAGACATAGCTTTGTATATTCTTTATTTTAAAGTTTAATCTAAAAATCATTCTGAGAATCATTAATATATAGGAATTGAGAGCATAGGTTGAAGTGTTTATAAGTTTTTGTTTGTTTGTTTGTTTGTTTGTTTTAGTGTGAGCATGCCTGGAGTTCTTACAACAATGTTCCTCTTAAGGGATTTGAGTGTTGGATCCTGTGATGGGGAGGCCCCTTGCTGCTTCTGCTCCCCTTCCTCTAGTACAGACCTTCTTTTTCACCATCAGGCACCTCACATCTTGGGGTAGAAGCCTCTGAGACAAAGGCACAGTGATTGCTTCACTCCTTGGCTAACTTTATGTTGCCATCCATGTTACTCTGGCTGGAAGCAAAGCACATGTTGCATTAATTAGAAGGAATGCAGCAAGGTGGCTTTGTCACAATACCTCCCGCCGAACACCTGCCCTTCAAGGGCACCAGCCATGTTTAAAGCACAACAAGCAGTACATCTACCCTGAGCAAGAAGAAAACGTTGTCACCTACAATCAAGTATCAACTTTAACCACAATCCGGTTGTCACCTACAAACAAATATCAACTGTAGCCACAATCCGGTTGTCACCTACAAACAAATATCAACTCTAGCCACAATCTGCAGAACAGAAGACTTTGTCAACAGTGAACTGTGTGTTGTTCCACAGCTGACATAAGTGAGAACGTCAGTTCCTTCTTGGCTTCCCAGTGGGTAGTTGGGGGTGGGGATGTGACACCATCTTACCTGATCCTCTACAGGAGTCACAGCACTGCTCCCCACCAAATCCTCAAATTTAGGGACATCACCAACTGGCTGTGTTTGAGTTTTTTCCTTTTCTCCAAGCATTGGGTATAAAACTTTATCAATAATTTTCATGAATTCATCATCAGTCTTCAAGGAAAGAGCAAATAAGACATTGAAAACCAACAAACTAACTGTAAAAATGTGATGTAAAGAAACATAGAGTTAGGCCTTTTAAGCCACACTCACCAAGTGATCAAAGACATTCATTTCTATGTTGAAGTCATCCTTGTCCTCCTGGCCATTTTCCTTATTGTAGAGTTCAACCTTCTTCATAAACTCCTCCCACATCCCTCTTCTGAATCCTTCTTCATCCTAGAAATAACAGAAATAGCAGTATTTCCTTCCTATTAACTCCACATACAAGCTGACTAAGTGGAATTGCTGAGACAGATAAAGAGGAGCCATGGAGAGGGATCTCAGGACACTACAGCCAGCCATTCTCCACACCCTGCATGTCCACAATGCAGGCCATCTTGTGTTCATAGTATACAACTTTCAGCAATTCCTTGGTGATAGTTGGCCCCTATGACCTCTTTCATGCCTATGTACTCCTAACAGCCAGGACTATTCCTTCTGAGATTCCTTTGAACAGTCCCCATGTTACTAACCAGCTTCTCATTTTTTATCTTCGGCTCTTGCTCTTCAGCATCCAGAGTAGGATCAGGGGATTCAGCAGCCGAGGCCACTCCCAAGCACAGGATGACTAGGAAGACAGCGGGAGTCATGTCTCAAGTACCTAGAGGAAAAACAGAGAAATCCCAGTCTACGTATTTCAAAGCTACTAAAATTTTTCCTTCTTCACTAGAAATTAAGGTACCAATAGTGGTTCAAGATTTTGAACTCTTCCAAGTATTTATCTAAGCAAGTATTTATGGAAAAAGCTAAGGATGTGGTTTGTCTGAAGAAAACACATGGAGGTATTTGTTAGGCCACCAACATGGGTGGCTGTTCATGGCTCTAGGGATGGAAAGAGTAAGTAGTGTGAGCTTCAGTTATCAGACAGATGTTCACATACCCCATGATTCCAAAAGTTAAAGCTGTAACTAAGGACGTAAGGCAGAGTACGCCTAGGATTTGTACAGAGTAAGGGAACTACAAGAGCTAAGAGAACATAAGAAAGACAACGCCTACTCATCTCTCTGACACACAGTTGTCACTGTGCCTCCTGAGTCTCTGCTATTGCCTCAAAAAGGAAAGGGTTCACAAGGTCATGCCACTAGAAGCCAGAGCCACCAGCAGGATCGGAGCGAAGAGGAGAGCATTATCAGCATGGTCAGCTCAAGACTTTCCAGTCTTCCATTCAACTCCCCGAGAAGACGTCAGGTTAGGGGCATGCTGCTTGGTATTCCTTTTGTACAGGTCAGAAGAGACCTGAGGTTTTAACTTGTATTGATATGGGAAAAGGTGATCCTAACTGAATGGGAAGCACTGGGCATTGCTGCCACTGTGCAGGGGACCAACGGACACTCCCAGTGACCAGGCTCAGACTTACACTCATAGGGATCTAGCACAAAGTTGGATGCCTGAAGGGCCTGGTTGGCTCTTTCGACCCTCCACTCATTCCCCTCTGATTCTCTACCAAGGCTCCTGAGTGTAAGGTTTTCTCATTCCTAATGGGTTTGCCTCATTCTCCAGGGAGTCTCTCCAGGGCTCTACTCTAGGTCCCAATCTACCTTGGCAGAGCCAGGGCCTCACCTGAGATGTCCAATGCTGTACTTGTGCACTCCACTGACGCAGCTCTTCAGTGGTTCCTGGGGATCTAGAATCTAGCCCAGCTGTACATCATTCAGTCTTTAAATCCCTAATCTCTGGCTAGGAAGCCCCACCCAACAATCCTAATATCTTTATGACCGGTTGTATTGGTGACAACATTGGGCCCCAGGCCCTATCACTCCAGGCATTTACAGAAATCTGATTTTATCCTGTCCTGGAGGATGGAGTATGTGTTGTCACAGTGGACTATGGGGGAGATGTGCAAAGGTTCGTTTTAGAGGAAGGTAGCCTGGGATCATTTAGTACCCTGCTGTTGTGCTTTGTGGGTTATTTAAGAAAAAAAGTGTTTCCAGGTAGGGTTTGAATAGTTTTTCAGCCTAACCATGGTTTTAACTTAGAATAAGAAACACCCTGGAGTAGTATGGGTCAGCATATTCAAGTCTAATGTCTCCTGGTGGGAATACAGACCCTAGGATACTTCCCCAGTTTATGGGTTGAATCCAGGTGGGTCTCCCCAAAAAACAGGGGAGGGACTAGGGAGATGGCTCTGCAGTTAAGAGTATTTGCTGGTCTTGCAGAAGACCCGAATTCAGCTCCCAGGACACACTTGGGGCTCCCAATAATCTTTAACTCTAATTCCAGGGGATCTAATCCTCTCTTATTCTCAATTTGAGCACTCACTAGACACACAAATGGTGAAGGTAAAATGCACAAACACATAAAACAAAATTAAATAATAGATTTTAGGAAAAGAGAATAGTTAGGAGAAGGCTGTCCTGAAACAGAGAGGAGATGTTCCAGGACAAACCCTTGGGTGGGACAGGGGATGAAAGGACTGGATGAAGGTCTCCTATGATTTCTCCACTGGTTAGATATCCTGCCTAGTCTCTTTGCTCAGGGATGCTTCGACTTTTTATGTCTTTAGCAACCTATTCATGATATAAGAATCATTTGCTGAAAAGTTATGCTAATAAGTGGAAAAGGGTAAATGAGAAATATGGAAATTTCTTCAGTTGCTCTCTCTGGGTTTTACTGTATGGAAACAGTGTCCATTTTGAGATTTAAGTTAAGACACTTCATGAACCTCAATGTTAAAATGTTAGATAAAGAGAACTTAAGAATTTTTTAGGTAGAAGAAAACACAGGTAAATAATAATAACCATTAACTACTACAACCCAGAACTTAAAAACGTGAGTCACCAGGAGAACATGGCCCACTGAATCAACTAAGCGGTGCTTACATGGGCTCACAGAGACTGATGCAGCAAGCAAGGGCCTGCGTGGGTCTGCACCAGGTCCTCAGAGTACATGCTGCGTCTGTTAGCTTGGTGTTTTGTGGGACTGCTGTGAGTGGGAGCAGGTGTGTTTCTGCGTCTTTTGCCTGTTTGGGCGACTCTTTTCCTCCTATTGGGTTGCCTTGTCCAGCCTCAATATGAGGGCTGTTGCCTTGTCTTACTCCATATTGTTTTGTCCCGCTTGGCTGTCATCTCTTGGAGGCCTGCTCTTTCTGAAGAGGAAACGGAGGGGGAGTAGATCTGGGGGAGAGTGAGGTAGAGGGAAATGGGAGGAGTGGAGGCAGAGGAAACTATAATCAGGATATGTTGTATGAGAGAAGAATCTATTTTCAATAAAAAACCCAAGATTCAGAAGTATTCCAAATCATTATGATTTTCTCAAAATAAAATATATATTCATTAAAGAAGTCCTTTCAAGGAAAAATAAGCATGTTGCCATTTTGACAATAATATTTTTAATAATTTTTTTTACATATTTGATCAAATTGGAATCATAATTTACATATTTTTGTACATACCATAATTACAGTTTTTTTCTGATTGAGATTCATTTGAGAACCACCAAGAAGCACCATGTGACCTGTCACTCTTTTCACTGAGTGACACATATTTTGCATGAAAGTTCCCATTTTATTTATTTATTTATTTATTTATTTATTTATTTATTTATTTATTTATTTATTTTTTTGGTTTTTCGAGACAGGGTTTCTCTGTGTAGCTTTGCGCCTCTCCTGGAACTCACTTGGTAGCCCAGGCTGGCCTCGAACTCACAGAGATCCGCCTGGCTCTGCCTCCCGAGTGCTGGGATTAAAGGCGTGCGCCACCACCGCCCGGCGAAAGTTCCCATTTTAATTATTGTAGGTATGGGGCCCAGTGGTACTAGCCCCTTAAAAGGCCATTTAAAAAGATAAATAGTGGGCCTGCAAGATAAATCTTGCAAGGTAAATACATCTTCCAGAAAGCCTGGTGACCTGAATTTACGGCACTCAATAGTGGAAGTGGAAAACTGGCTACTGTATATTGTCTTTTGACCTCCACACATGCCCTTCCCCAAATTTAAAATACATGAATAAAATGTAAGTTTCCTTATGTGGAATAAATCAGGTCCCAATATCACATGTTAAACTTTCTTACTTTTTAAGGATATATAATATTTATTAAACAGTATAGTGGTTTGAATGAGATGTCCCCATATTCTGGAATATCTACATATTTGGTCCCCAGTTAGTGACTCTGTTTGGGTCGATTTAGGAGATCTGGCATTGCTGGGGAGAAATATGTCACCAAGTGTAGGCATCGAGCATTCAAAGGCCGTGCACTTGTTTCTAGTGTGCTTTCTGCTTCTTGTTTGTGTTTTGAGACGTGAGCTCTCAGTCACTGTTTCAACTGTCACGTCTGCCACCTGCTGCCATGCTGTGCCCCTTATTATGAACCCTAATCCTCTGAATCATAAGCCCCAAATAAACCATTCCATCTATAAACTGCCCTGGTCATGGTATTCTATTACAGCAATAGAATGGTAAGTGATACACATAGAGACACCAATTTTTATCTGTACATTATTTCATGAACATGTTTCCCATGCAAGTGGAGAAAGAAGATACAATATCTGTCTCCTCTACACTACCAAATGTGGACAAAGTCCAGAATTTGTAATGCAAGAAAAGCAGTTATGGATGCTTAAGCCAGAGAGAGTAAGATATTATTGTTGCTGAAAGTCATTGTGATACCTGCTTATAGAGAAAAATCTGTTAAATTATACTTGGCTCATCTTAGTTTAGACCTCTAAATCTTGTGCTAAGCCTGTCTATGCAAATCTTTATAGCATCCTGTTTCAGCCAACAACGATATTAAGTCAGTTTAGCACAAACCTCCACCCTTACTATCTGATAATCTTCTCTGTCTCACCCAGAGCCCTTTTCTTCAACAATGCCTCAGGTTATATATCCTCATATGGCTACCAGCAAGATTCCTGTAGATGTGTTTCATCAGAATCTCCTCACACCTGATGCTTCTTAACAATGTTCTGTCTACTGAGCCTCTGTCTGCTCCTTGCTATAAAATTCAGATAAGCATCTATACGTGACGCCTAGCACCCTCTCACCTCTCATGCAGGGCTCCATGCAAATGACTCCTGTAGCTATAGTCTACTCTTTAGTACAGTTTTCCTAGATAATTTAATAAGTAATTAATTCTTTAGTTCATGGAGGTGCTTTAATAAGTAATCATGCCCTAATTTCTCTTAAACAGTAGTTTTCCCACCCTTTCCATTTCCCGTGCTTCACTAGAATAGCAGACACTCTAATCAAAACAACAGCATGTTCTTGGTGATCCTGAATTCTCAATTCCTAGAACTTTAGAAGTTGTGGTCTACTTCTTCTGGTACATCATCATCCAAGAATTGTGTTGGAAAAGCAAATGATGACTGTTAGATGGAGGGTGGACAGTGAAGACACTAAAACTCACCCTCCAATTCTGAGGCCAGCTGGCCAAATGCTCTGTGCTTGTTCTGTGGAGAGGAGAACCGGAGTTTATTCTGCTAAATGAAGCCCCAATGGTGGGATCAAAGAAATTATTACAACTAAGTTTAGAGTTGTAAACCATTCAGTTTATTTGGGTTGTTCACAGAAAGTTGGGCAAAGGGTTATTTGCTAGAGAATGAGTAGGTCCAAGTTGCCATACCAATGAAAAAATCCCACAGCTTTCTGGGAGATAAC